ATTTATTTATTTGAGAGAGAGAGAGAGCGCGCGCACCAACAGGGGGCAGAGGGAGAAATAGACTCCCCAATGAGGACGATCCCAACACCGAGATCATGACCTGAGCTAAAATCAAGAGTCGGATGCTTAACCTACTTGAGCCACCCAGGCGCCCCACTCATTTCTTATTTCATAGTTCTATAGGTCAGAAGTCCAGGCTGACTCACCTTGGTCCTCTACTTAGGGTCTCACAAAACTGAAGTCAAGGTCTTGGCCAGTCTGGGTTCTTATCTGGAGGCTCTCGCATAGAGTCCACTTTCAGACTTACCCAGGCTATTAACAGAATTCAGTCCCATTTGGCTGTATTACTCAGGTCCCTGTTTTCTTTCCTGGCTGTCAGTCAGAGGTTGATCTCAGCTTCTAAAGGCCATCTACATTCCTTGGCTGGGATCCCTTCAAAACTGGCAATGGCACATCAAATCCTCCTCTTTCAAATTTCTCTGACTTCTGTCTTCCTCTTCTGTTGCTAGCTGGAGAAGCTTCTCTGCTTTCAGAGTTCATGTAATCACATTGGGTCCACCTGAATAATTCAGGATACTCTCCCTATTTTAAGGTCAACCAATTAGTAAACTTAATTACATGTGCAAAGTCCCTTTTGTCATGTAAGGTAACATATTCATAGAGATTAGGGCATGGAATCTTTAGGGGCCATTATTCTCCTTACTACAGTTCACCCTCTAGCCCTCAAAGATTTGTCTGTTCCACAAGCAAAATACATTCACTTCCTCCCAAAGTCCCTAAAAGTCTCATCCCATTACAGCATCAAGTCAGAGTCCAAAAAATCTCATACAAATCTTATCAAGTCCAAAGTCCTAAATCTCATTATCTAAAAGTAGATGCAGATGAGGCTCTGGGTGTACTCCTTCCTAGAGCACAATTCCTGCCATCTGTGGACCTATGAAACTAAACGAGTCATGTACTCCCAATGTGCAATGGTGGGACGTGCATAGGATAATAGTTATAGACATTCTGGTTCAAAATGGGAAGAAATGGAAGGTAAAAAGGAGTCACTGATCCAAAGCAATTCCAAAATCCAGCTGAGCAAATTTCCTTAGGTTTCCAGTTCTAGAAGGACTCCTCCAGGGCTCTGTTCTGCCCTGAGCTCTCGGGTCTGTCCTTTGGATTAGTCACCTTCTCTAAGAAGCCATTCCTGACTACCTGTTAGCACACCCATCTCCAAACCACTTGCCATTTTTTGTCATACATGTCATGGTTTTGGAATATCTTAGTTATTTCTTTACTTGTCCTTTCCACTAAAATAAAAACTCCACGAAAGGCAGAGACCTTGTCTGTATTTTCACCTCTATTTCTCCAGCACTTTCCATAATATCAGGTACATAACTCTTGCTCAGTATTTTATGAATATATGAAGAATGACTTAAATGTGGAATGGGGCGGTATGGTAGGCTAAACAATGGCCCCCTAACCATGTCCACATCCTAATCCCCGGAACCTGAGAATGTTGCCTTAGATGACAAAAGGGACTTTGCAGATGTAATTAGGAATTGTAAAATGGGAGATTATCCTGCAGTATCTGGATGGGCTCAAAGTAATCAGAAGCATCCTTATAAGAGGGAGACAGGAAGGGCGCTTGGGTGGCTCAGTTGGTTAAGCGACTGCCTTCGGCTCAGGTCATGATCCTGGAGTCCCGGGATCCAGTCCCACATCGGGCTCCCTGCTCAGCAGGGAGTCTGCTTCTCCCTCTGACCCTCCTCCCTCTTGTGCTCTCTCTCATTCTCTCTCTCGCAAATGAATAAAATCTTAAAAAAAAAAAAGAGGGAGACAGGAAGGTCAGAATCAGAGCAGAAGGTGATGTGACAACGGAAGCTGAGCATGGAAAATGTTCTTTGAAGTGGAGGATGAGGCCACTAGTCAGGGATGCAGGCATCCAACAGAAGCTGAAAAGGGCAAGCAAACAGTTCCTCCAGAAGGAGTCAGCCCTGCCAACTCCTTGACTTTAGCCCACTGAACTAATATTGGATTTCTGATCTCCGGAGCTGTAAAAGCATAAATGTGTGTTGTTTTAAGCCACTACATTTGTAGTACTTTGTAACAGGAGTAATAGGAAATTAATACAATTGGGATGGGTTAACACGGCTAGTGTGTGGCTGTGACTGCTGATGGTCCCCCAATATTCATCCTTCCAAAGTTAGCTTGTTTCCTGGGAATAGTTCCCCAGGTCCCCTAGAACTTTTATCCAGACAAAAAGCTTGCCCAGGGTGAAGATTTTATTTCTTGGCCATGTGACTACATTCTGGTCAATAGGATTACAGCAGAAATTCTCAGTGCAACTTCTGCAATTTAGGGTAAAGGACAAGCCATCCCCTTCACTTTTCTGCTTCACAAGGGCTAAACTGTGGAAGTGGTGATGGACCATCTTAGACCATGTGGGTGAGGGCAATATCCCAGGGATGGAACGGCAATAAGATAAATAAAAGAATTTATTATTGGGGTGCCTGGGTGGCTCAGTTGGTTAAATGTCTGCCTTTGGCTCAGGTCATGATCCCAGAGTCCTGGGATCGAGCCCCACATTGGGCTCCTTGCTAAGCTGGGAGTCTGCTTCTCCTTCTCCCTCTGCCCGCCACTCCCCCTGCTTGTGCTCTCTCTCTGTCAAATAAATAAAACCTTTAAAAATTATTTTTTTTATTATTATTCATTGGTCCTGATGACTTCATGCAAAGACCCACCATACTAATTTGGACTTTTATGTAAGAGAGAAATAAACTACCTTTTGTAAGCCATGGTTAGTTTGGGTCTCTGTTTCATGCAGATGTACCCATAGGCAAAAATACAGAATTTCCACTTATTATCCATTATGTTGGGGCTTCTCGGAAGGGCAGACATCCATGCAATTAAGGCAAGTTTGGGTTTTATTGTTTTTCCTTTTGGACAAGTCCCTTGTAATGGTGCCATTGTGGTCTTAGGACATATGTGAGATTGGCATTTACTAGGCACCAAGTTGATGCTAGAAGGTCTGGGGCCCCATCCCCCAGATGTCTTTCTAGTTCACATAAGCAGCTACCACAAGTTGCCAAGAACCAGCAAGAATCAAGAAGGCTCACTGGACCTGAGGGTAAATATCTCTAAACAAGGGGCAAGCCTCAGACCTTAGAGAGCCACTGCAGCTCATTTTGGTATGTCATTGTCTTGATGATAGGAAAGGAGAACTACGGGGCGCCTGGGTGGCTCAGTTGGTTAGGCTTCTGCCTTCAGCTCAGGTCATGATCTCAGGGTCCTGGAATCAAGCCCCACATCAGGCTCTCTGCTGGGTGGGGAATCTGCTTCTCCCTCACACTCTCCCTCTGTGCTCTCTCTCTCTCTCAAATAAATAATGAAATCTTTAAAAAAAAATAGGAAAGGAGAACTGAATAGAGAATCTCTGCAACATGGAGGGAGCTTTTATCAGTCAGCTAGGATCAAATTATGCTGCAGTAACAACCATCCCAAAATTTCAGTGGCTCACAACAAATGTGTTTTATTTTTTTTTTATTTGCTAATGTTTATATCAGTACACTAAAACTAAATTTTAGAGACACTGGATATCATTAGTTTGGATACCATTAGTTTATTATAAAAGAGAGAAATGAAAATTATTTACATGATGAAAGATTTCACAACTTCACTGGAATGGGCAGCTTCACTTTGTGCCATTTTAATAATGATTTCAGTTCACATACTTTCCAAGAATGTCACCATCTCTAAGTAAGAAATAATCCTTGTCATCTAGAACTAATTTGGTGCCTCCATATTCTGGGAGAAGAATTTTATCTCCAACTTTCACACTAACTGGTTGAATCTCTCCACCCTTTCCTTTAGAGCCTGATACAACAGCTACTACTGTTGCTTGCCACACTTTTCCTTGAGATTTTCTGGAAGCATAATACCTCCTTTGGTTACAGTTTCAGCTGCACTCCTTTCAACTAAAACTTGGTCAAATTGGGGAAGAAACTTTCTAAACGCCTGCCCTGCCATAACTCCAGACGCCACAGTTTGTACTCTGCTCTAGAGCTGCCGCCCCAAATGTGTTTTTCTCACTCATATTCCATGTCCTCTGTTGGGGGAGGTCACCGAGAGGATATGACTGCCAGTTGACCTGTGAGCAGCACCCCCACAATCAAAGGTTCCTCATACCCCTTCCATGTCCTTGGAATGTACTTGCCTTCCCTGCGCCCAGAGACTGCCCCAAGAATGCAGCTTTGAGAGAGCACCGTGTTATTGAGACCATCTGGATGGTATACATGACTGAACCCAGTTAAGGCCTCTATATAAAACATTTTTTTAAGAAGGCTCCACGCCCAGTGTGGGGCTTGAACTCATGGCCGTGAGATCAAGAGTCACATGCTCTACTCACTGAGCCAACGAGGCACCCAAGGCCTCTATATAAATTTTTAAGATTTGGTGGGAGCTGAAAAAAAAAAAGATTTGGTGGGAGGTGCAGAGATCTACTCATCTGGTGGCTGCCCAAGACAAGCCTTGCATGTAAGTCCCTTTGCTTCTTAACCCCGCTATGTACCGATCTGCAGTGGTCTGCCTCTTTGTTCAATCTCTCCGTGCTCTCTGTGTACAGGGGCTGGTTTCAGATTTCACTTGGGAAGCTCCTGAGGATGTTATGAACCAACATCCTCCATGGGACAGCTGTTGCTCTGTTCTACATCATCTTCATTCCAGAATCTAGTCTGAAGGAACAGCTTCAATCTGGAATTTTCAATCTCAAGACAAAGAAGAGAAGAAAGGTGTCAGTCCCCATGATGGCTCTTAAAGCTTCCTCTTGGAAGTAGTACATGTTACTCCTACTCGAGTTCCATGGCCTAATGCAAGCAACATACCCAAAGCTGATGTCAGTGGAGTAGGGATATATGATCTTTTCATATGGCGGGGCCCCACAGAGAGGGTTAATGAATGAGGGTTTTTGAACGATTGTGAAATCCTCTTAGTCTGCCTTCTTTGTCACAAATACGGCCTTTGTGTTTCTTCTACATCAAAATAAACACATATCCTTCCCCAGGGAGACCACCCAACTGACCCATCTAATCATGGCATCAGACTCAAGTCCAGGACCACTAATAGTCTCTGTATCAGGTCCAGAGGCGGCTTCTCTTGAGCCAGAGACCTATGAACCAAAATGATCACCATCATCACCATCATCACAAGTTACCTCCCCACACACATCCAACATATGAAGTGGAACAGGGACAGGATAATAGCAGTAAACACTCCCATTTAGAAGGAAGAATGGGAGACACACAGCACTTACTGGTCCACAGTAATTGCAACATCCTGCTAAGCAGATGTTGCAAAGGCCCCCCACCTTTACCTGGGAGTGGGATTGCTTCCTGGGACTAGTTCCCTAGTTCCCATAGAGTAGCTCCTCCTTTCCCATTTATTCTCCCTGGCCACATTTGAGAAAACATTGGAGGTTATGCCCTTCTGAGGCAAAGCAGCTTTCCGTCTCCTTTATGCCCATAGAAATTTGGGAACCCTCAAGGTCTTGAACATTCATGGTCTTTTAAAAATCCAACCTAGTGGGGGTGCCTGGGTGGCTCAGATGGTTAAGCATCTGCCTTCGGCTCAGGTCATGATCCCAGGGTCCTGGGATCGAGCCCCACATCAGGCTCCTGGCTCAGCGGGGAGCCTGCTTCTCCTCCTCCCTCTGCCTCTCTCCCTGCTCATGCTCTCTCTCTCCCTCTCTGTATCTCTGTGTCTCAAGTGAATAAATAAAATCTTAAAAAAAAAAAATCCAACCTAGTGGCTTTTTGTGTGGAGGGAAAGCAGCTTCTTATCTATTTGATTCCAGTCAGTTCTATGGGCTAACTGCCAAACCCACAATTCTCTTCGGACATGCCTCTCTCTTTAGACTTAATTGTAAGCAAATGGAACCTACTAACTCCTTTGGGAATTGCACTCTTAATCTCACTTTTCTGAATTACCTTGACTAACTGAAAGGCTTTACTGGGAACCACTCTGACCAATTCAGAAGTTTCTACAAAAGGCATGAGAGTCATACACTTGATAAGACCCTTGCCACAAAGATTAATTTCACTCAACCTTTTCAGCTTAAGGGCCTTGTCAACTGTATCTTTCACTGGTTAAAAATGTAGATCACCTTCATGGAGTTTCTATAATCTCTTCCATTTCTTTTTTTTTTTTTTAAGATTTTATTTATTTATTTGACAGAGAGAGACACAGCGAGAGAGGGAACACAAGCAGGAGGAGTGGGAGAGGGAGAAGTAGGCTTCCCGCGGAGCAGGGAGCCCGATGCAGGGCTCAATCCCAGGACCCTGGAACCATGACCTGAGTTGAAGGCAGACCTGAGCCACCCACGCGCCCATCTCTTCCATTTCTGCCTAAAAACTGGCCAATTATTTTCGGAGTCATCTCTTTCTTACAGTAACTTGTCAAATGTACCCCCAAAGCAATCAAGTCATGCTACTAATATTCTTTCTCAAATTCTTTTTTCCCTAAAGCCCCAAGCTCATTTGGACATTATTTATATTCTTACTTATTTCCAGCCTACCATTTAACCAAATGCTTCACTACTGCCTAACACATATCACCATCTTTCCAGCTTCCACTAATGGTTTCCTCATCAGCCGCTGCCTAGCTCCAGAGCCAATGGCACATAATTCAGATTCATTTTTAATGTGGTAGCACGCACTTCTGGGTACTAGTTCTGTGACAGTTGGTTTAGACTTATTCTGATGTGGCAACAACTATTCTCCAAATATCAGTGGTTCGCAGCAAGTGGGAAAAGAAAAGGCAAGCTGCCAGGCTACTTACTGACACTTAAATATCTGAAAGTGATACTTTACATTTCTACTCACATCCCATTGGCCAAAGCAAGACATATAGCCAAGCCTACTATAAGTGGGGCACGAACGGATATAATCCTATAGTGAGTGATCCAGTAGAAAGGACAGTATATATTTGGAACAATACTACAGTCTATCACAGGGCTGTGATATCACAAGAAATGTCAATCACTGAGCCCGTCCACTCCTCCTTTATACACACTCTGCGGCAGTGTTTTGTACCATGTAAACACTTCACATACATCGTGGTCAAGGGTAAAGTCTTGACTCGAGCTCAATTTAGTAACTTTCTTTTTTTAAAGATTTTATTTATTTATTTGAGACAGAGAGAATGAGATACAGAGAGCATGAGAGGGAGGAGGGTCAGAGGGAGAAGCAGACTCCCCGCCGAGCAGGGAGCCCGATGCGGGACTCGATCCCGGGACTCTGGGATCATGACCTGAGCCGAAGGCAGTCGCTTAACCAACTGAGCCACCCAGGCGCCCTCGAGCTCAATTTATAGGCTGGTCAAAGTAGCCTGACCCAGACCAGTCAGGTTCTTTTTCCTGGCAATCTGAACCATAAAATATCGAGTCAATGAGGCAATAAGCGGGGAGAGCTACAGCTGAAAAGTTATGATGCAAGATGGATTTGGAAAAGCCACACCCAACCAAGACCCTGTTCCCTGAAAGTTGGGCTGAGAGCAGCAAAGACAGGATTTCAGTGCAAAACCTGCCCTTAACTCCTCATTTAGGTCAGCTCCCCGCAGGGAAAGGGTATACACAGGGGAGCCTGTGAAATCTCCAGTGCATGGGTCCACCTGACTGCTAGGTCTGTCCCAAACTTTGCCACTCATCTGTTCAAAAACCTTCCATGTGTCCCCTAGCCCCCAGGAAAAGTTCAAACTACTGGGCCTGGCATCCAAGGCCTCACTCGGCCATCTAGTTACGTCTGTCAGGAGGTTCTGGACCACTTCCTGGGTGAGACAGGTAAGCAGGCTTTCAGGGGTGGCGCTGTCCAGCAAAGCCAATACAAGGTCACATACCGCACACTGACATCCAGGTGCGTAGATGTGACGCAGTCCCGGCATAGATCTGATCATCTCTATCAGATCCCAGTAGGTGCCAGTGGGTTGTGCAGTTTTCCTCTGAAGGCAGAAAGGTGAGGGGGTGGACAAAGGCGACCAATAGGGCAGAATTCCGCTGAAGATGCAGGCCGCAGGGGAAGAGATGGAGAATTAGGGAAGCCCGGAGGCCCCGTATCTAAATCAGTCTTCTAGTGGGGCAGGATCCGTCTGGCCCCGCAGTTTTCCCAGCGAGTGGACATCCAGGTTGTGTTTGCACACTGGTGAGAATGAGGAGTTCTTTCCTGAGGTATCTAGGGCTTCATCTGTACACAGGACACATGAGCTCAGGCAGGAGGACAAAGGCGTGGGTACCCTTCCAGACTCGTGCAGCTGCCAAGTTCAGCGGTTAGGGAGGGGGACCCAGCCACGCCTTCTCGGGTGAGGTCCCTGACTCACCCTACCCTCTCAAGCCCGTGCCCCCTCCGCCTCATTTAGACGTTTGATCATGCCCCGCCCTGTGATCCAATCACTTTTGGGTGCGACAGAGGACTCGCTGAGGCCCCTCCCATATCCGCGCAAGGCTAATTGTGGTTTAATACCCAGGGCTCACTCCCCCAGGAGGTCCCTGGAAGTCCTACAGACCAATCCTGATGCTCCTTAGGAGCAACATTTGTTCCGCGGGCCAATCATTTTCCACTTGCGGCCAGGCCACGCCCCCTACACGAGGGGCCGAGCAAAGGCTCGGACCTGGCGCAGGCGCCTTGCAACAGCCAAGCCAGGGTCGCTCGAGGGCCACTGGGAGGCGCTGCAGGCGGGTGCCCAGGTGGAAGGAGGCAAAGCAGGCAGGGGTCACTGGGGCCTAATCCCGCCCTCTGGCTCCTCCCCCAGGCCGGGCCCAGGGGCGGGGTCCGAGACTGCACCAAGGCCATCACGTCCAGCCCTCTATGACTCGCGGCACCCCAGCACCCGAAGCAAGCGGTACTGCGGCCAGATGGGCGGGGCAAGGGCAGCCTGGAGCAGCAGCGACGACAGCAGCAGCAGGGGCCTGTGGCATCGAAAGAGGGATGCGACGCGGTGGCTGGAACCCAGCCCCCAGACCTTGTTTGGGGTCAGGCGCCGCCCCACTCCAACCAGGCTTCGGAGCCAGGAGCTAGCCTACTCCTGAAACCAGGTGTCTGGGGACAGGTGCCATACCCAGCTCTGGAAACCAGGCTTCTGGACTCGGAACTCAGAAATCTAGAGCTGGGGCCTGGAGCTTAGGTGCCTCAGAGAAACCAGGGGTCAGGCTCCTCCCCCTCTTCTACTGCTTCAGCAACATAGCCCCCTAGTAAGCAGGTGTGTTGATCCAGAGTCCCTGGCTCTCTAGGCCAGACTCTTAGGTCAAAGGCTATGCCCTTTTCTGGGCACAGGGCTGCCTGCTCCCCTCTGCCTGGCAACTCTCCCCCTGCTTCTTCCCATACTGGCTCCTCCTCATTTAATGTTCCGGTGCCTCTTCCTGGCCTCAGGAATACCCGATGCCCACACACATCTCACCTATGTCCCAGCCTGGCCTGGCCCAGCTTCACTGCTCTGGGGTTAGGGGCTCCCAGTAGTCTTTCCCCAAGGACAATACTGAGCCAGATGCGGGTGTTAGCCCCTCCCTGTCCCACCTGTTCCTACGGAGAGAAGGGCAGTGCCAGCTTGCTGTGGTCACAGCACCTAGAATGGTCTGATTTGAGTCTCCCTCGGCTGGGCCTGGCCCCAAGGATGGCCAGGAAAAGGGGAGGCTGGATGCCTGAAGGGCCTGCGCCGGCCCTTCCAGGAACACACATGCACATGGCAGTCTCCAAGCACTTTTTTTTTTTTTAATTTCTTACAAAACCGTGTGTCCCAGCCAAACAGGACACTGCAGGCCATCCCCCAGGCATTGTGGCCTGAGTGGGGAAGCCCCCATGAATGAGAGGCTGGCAACCCCAGGAGAACTGTCTGCCCCTCTGCTCAGGGCCAGTGTGAGGAAGGGGGTCCCGCTGGAGGCTCTGTCCTGCCCTCCCCCCTCAGCTGCTGGGAGAGAGGGCAGGCCGGGGTCTCTGGTGCTCTTAGTGCCTGCAAGGGAAGGAGGGAGAAGAGGGTCTGAGGGGACGAGGAAAGGCTGGGGCCTGGGATGAGGCAGGCCAGGGGGCAGGCCCACAGTATCTCACCAAGAATGTGCGAAGCTCTCAAACCAATGTGGTGATACCAATGATGACTGCCACAATGACGAGAGTGACAGACACACAGATGGCGATCAAGACTTTCTTCTGCGGGAGAGGAGTTCAGGGAAACTCACTTAGGAGGGGAGGAAAGACCACCAGGGCCGGGGAGGGGAGGGGAGAAGAGGGGAGGGGAGAGGAGGCTCACCTTCCGAGCCTTCTTCTGGTTTTCGAGGGCAATCTTGACATGTTCCTGCCCGCGTTCCACATAGTCTGCTGAGCTCAGGATGTTCTTCTCAATCCGGTTGATCATCTCCCCCTGCGCAGAGGAGGGGGTGGTTCAGGCAGGTAGGGATGACCGGGGGTGGAGGGCCCAGCAGCCCCTCTGCTTGCTCACGCTAGCCGCCTGAAGGCCGTCCGCCGGCAGCAAACGCAGCACTAACACAGGTGTGGGGCAGGACCACATCTGACAAAGTTCGCACACCTGAGGGCGGCTTCCGGGCTCCCCTTTATCATGTGGTCCCTTCCGCCCTGCTCCCTTACCCCCTACAACCTTCATTTGCTGTGGTGGCTTGGAGCCAAGTGCTCATACCTTTTCACAGAGGGTGAACTTTTGTCCCTTCGTAATCTGTCTGAATTCGCCCATTCTTCTAGGCCTGCCTCTCAACAGCTGTGAAGCCCTCCCCATCCCTGCCTCCTCATGGCACCGCCAGCCTTCAGGTCCTAGTACTCCTACTGAATGAAATCCCTCCCCCAGTGGCCCCAAGGCCACTGGCTGCAGCACTAGGGGTCAGCTCCTCCAGGACAGGGCTGGAAGCTTACCTCACCCCATGAAACCAGGGGCAGCAGAAGACCACTCCCACCCCAACCTCATACAGATTTGCAGAGGCAGGCCCTCTGAGGAGTGAGGGCCAGCCTCGGGGGCGGGGGGGCGGGGACGAAAGCCTCGGGGAGAGAGGCTGGAGGGTGGAATGGGCCGACAGTCACAGCGGGGGTTCTTTTTTTTTTTTTTTTTTTTTATTTATTTGAGAGAGAGAATGAGATAGAGAGAGAGAGCATGAGGGGGGGAGGGTCAGAGAGAGAAGCAGACTCCCTGCCGAGCAGGGAGCCCAACATGGGACTCGATCCCGGGACTCCAGGATCATGACCTGAGCCGAAGGCAGTCGCCCAACCAACTGAGCCACCCAGGCGCCCCACAGCGGGGGTTCTGACTGAACACGGTCTCACGTCAAGCCCAGCCGGCCATCTTGGGTGCCCACCTGCATCTCCACTTCAGTAGCCAGAAAAGTGAAGATCTCATGAAGTTCACGGATACTGCGTTCAAGCTGCTGGATCTCACTGTGCCGGGCAGAGATCTCATTTAGGGCCTGTCGAGTCACCTGTGTGTCCTTCAGTATCTGGGGAGTGGATAGGAACGGAGAGACAGGTCACGGGGAACCCGGCAGCAGGTCAGAAGTTCCTGTTGAGCTCTCAGGCAGCCCTCGGGCTTAGAACTGGGGCTGGGGCCCCGATGAGTGACTCTAGGCCTGCTAACTCCTTCCCCTCCGGGCCTCCGTATCCCCTCAATCAGAGAAGATGAGAGTCCCAGAAGAGGGAGGCTAGCTGTGGCCACTCACATTGGACACAAACACCTCGCTCTGCCCACTGTCCAGCATCTGTTCCAGCTCCTCATCAGACACCATTCCAGCATTCGCTGTGAAGGAAAAGGCCAGGCTCAGAGCTGGGTCAGGTTACCTGACCCTGGAGGCCAGACGCCACAACTCACTGATCTTCAGCTGCCGCCGAATCCGCTCCACGTTCTTCTCCCGGTATTCGGACTGTGTCAAGTTGCACTTGTTGATGAGTTCCACGAATTGCTGGGACAGGACCCCGTGCTAGTGGTAGAGAATATAGGCTGGGCACCCCGGAAGGATTTGGCCTCAACATCCCCACAGGTACAGCGAGCAAACAGCGTAAGCTGTTCTAGGTGCCTGCCCCCTTGACCACCATTCTCTCAAAGTAAAAGCCAAAGCCCTTACCAGGGCTTATGAGGCCCTCATGACCTTCCCTTTCCCCCATTTCCCCTGTGACCTTACCTCTTCCAGCCGTTCCCTCCCTCACTCCCTCCAACCATGGTGGACTCCTCCCCCCTCGCCCACCAAAGCCACCCCCACCTCAGACTTCTGCATTCACTGCTCCCTGGGCCTAGAATGCTCATGCCCCACAGAGGTCACCTTCTGCCATCCAAGTACTAACCAGGCCCGACCCTGCTTAGCTTCCGAGATCAGATGAGTTCGGGCACGTTCTAGGTTGAGGTCACCTTCTGAATGAGGTTTTCTCTACCTTACTAAAACGGCAACCGGCCTTCTCCCAGCACTCTCAACCCCTCTTCTCCTCAGTTCTCCCCTTAATGCTTAACTGTGTTCTAAAATAATGTACATATTCACTATGGTGTTTGTCTCTCCCCACCAGAACGTAAGCTCCATGAGGATAGGGTTCTTTGGTTCACTGCTGGATCCCCAACAGCTAGAAAAGGGTCTAGCACACAGTAGGCACTCAATAAATACCTGTGAATGCTTGCTGAACACCAGCCTCACTGCTCAGATTAATATACCTGGAGGTCAGTCCATTGCCTAGATTTTACAGGTCCAGCTGCGCCCTCAGCCTCTCACACTGATGGCCACCACAGGCTCCCCCTGAAACGTCCTCTCATCTTGTCCATTCCCCTGTTGCCTTCAATGTGTTCATTCCTTGGAGCTCCTTCCTCAGAGACATATCTGCTCTCCTGCCTTCAGCTGCACCCTTGCAAGATGCCCAAACTGCTCTACCTTCAATCTAGGGGACTTGCTGAGCTCTGGGCCCACCTACTCCAACTCTGACCTCCAGGGAGTAAAATTACTCCTCACTGGGCACCCGGGGCGGGGGGGTGGGCAGTTAGATCACCTCAAATCTCCTTACTAAGATGTTGATTCAGTGACCTTCCGTCTCCAGGGAAGTTCCTCTTCCTCACTTCCTGAATTCCACCCATGGGGCAGAGCATGTCCCTGTCACATGGGCAGGAAACCTCCCAGTCATTTATGACTGTTCCCCCTTCTTCCCTGGGCAGGGATATTAGCTACCAAACCCTATGTGAGTAATGTCTTTGTCATCTAGTCAAGCTTGACTCCCCATCTTGGTTTCTAGAAAGCATGCCTTCCACAGCCAAACCCAGGTCATATCTGGGGACTCAGCAACTTCTCATTAAATGGACAAGGTGACAGGATGTTAAGTGGACTGGGAGTCGGGAGTCTTGACCTTGGGCAAGTCCTTTTTCTCTCTCAACCTCAGTTTCCCCATTTGAAAACCATCAGATTGGACTTGATCTCTAAGAGCCCTTCCTCCTTACTTCGGCCATCTAATGATCTATGAAACTCTTGCAAAATGTCTTAGTTCTGGGAATAATAACCCACCTGGGTTTTTCTCATCCTTGTGTTGACTGAGTTATAATTCTCATCAGCTTCCTCATTCTGGGGCTCTATGGCTGTGGGAAGATACAAGGGTATTAGTGGGGAAGGGGATTTGATCTGTGATTTCGGAAAATCATGTGGGAACCAGGACACAGGGCCAGGGTCATACCCCATCCATGTAACAGAGAGGTGCTTATCTCCATGGGATTCTTTTGGGAATTATAATTGATTATAAATGGGGCGCCTGGGTGGCTCAGTTGGTTAAGCGACTGCCTTCAGCTCAGGTCATGATCCTGGAGTCCCGGGATCGAGTCCCGCATCGGGCTCCCTGCTCGGCGGGGAGTCTGCTTCTCCCTCTGACCCTCCCCCCTCTCATGTGCTTGCTCTCTCTCATTCTCTCTCTCTCAAATAAATAAATAAAATCTTTAAAAAAAAATAATTGATCATAAATAATTCTGAGCCTCTGATGGGAGAAAGTATATTTTTCTTTGCAGTACATCAGAGAATTCGCACAGGTGTACAGAGGCCTCTTGAGAAACCCCCATCTGCCTGTCCAAAGAATGCACACTGGGCAGCAAGAATTGTAGGAGTAAATAGTTTCCTTTCAAATAAAGGAGCTCGAGAGGCAGGCATGTGCTGTGCAAAGTAGGAAGCCAGGAGAAAGAGATTCTAGGCCTAGGCCTGCTGTGTGACCTGGATACATCACGGGCCTCTCTGGGCCACACACTCCCCAGATATACCAGGAGCTGGGCTGGACCACAGGGAAGGATCTGTCTGAGGCCCTAGGAGCTCACCCTTCAGCTGCGATCGGATCTCCCTCCCCAGCTGTTTGATCTCCTCACGCAGGTTCTGCAGGTCCTGCTTCATACCTGAACAAGAGAAAGCCATGACTCCCAAACAGCAGCCCCTACCTCAACAAACCTCCCTGGCCACCACCTGCATGGAACTACAATCCCCACAATCCCTCCGGCTGAGCTTGCGTTTGCACTTGGGGTTTCACTCACTTTCCTCGGGAAGGGGCGTGGCCAGGATGGTGACCTGCTGCTTCTCCAACTCCCGGACTTTATTCTCCAGCTTGACAATAGTCTGTCGAATTGTCCGGACCTGGGGAAGGTGACCGAGACGGCTGAAGGAGATAAGGGGGTACTCCAGACCGCGCTGCTCCTCGGGTCATCCAGCCCCCTCGCGAAGACAGGGCAGAGACCCCAGCTTCTTACCTTCTGGAAGAACTCATCGTCCGGGCTCCCCAGCCGCGCCGTGCCCGGGTGTACCACGAGCGCGACCCGTTCCTTGTCCTCATCGTCCGAGCTGTCATCCCCCTGCCAGGGCCGGGGTCACTGGCATCACTTCCTTGCTGTTGCTTTCTCCCCGCAGGACTCACGGACTTCCGGGTCTTTCCTTCCTAGCCCTCAACCACCCCTCCCTGCCCCGAAGACCAGGAGTCCTGTATTCCAGCCAGACCCCGTCCCGTCCGCCCGTGTCCAACCCTGCAGCCCCCACTTCTCACCTGCCTCAGTTCGTGGGTCCTGTCGCGCATGGTGGCCCGAGCTCCCTCTCCCCGGCGCCGGAGCCCCGAGGGCCTCAAGACTAAGTTTGGAACTCCCGTACCGCACTCGCACTCTGACAGTGACACTCCCCTCCGCCCTCACCCTGCGGACCCCCAAACCCCCCCACGAGCCACCAGAGGCTCTGTCCCGGGCACCATCCACAGTCAATGGGAAGAAGCCGACCTCGGGGACCCCCCAAGATTCCACAGGTTGGAATTCCCTTTTCTTTCCCCCCCTCCCGCACCCGCAGCCTCAGCCCCGCCCCTCTGGGATGATCGGGGCATGCGCACGGGGTCGCGTCTCTTCCTCGCCCGAGGGAGAGGTTGAGGTCGGAAGCTGCGGCGCCCCGAACGGAAGCAAAGCTGCCAGGACGTGAGAACCCGCCCCCTTTGCCGGAACTGTCCCATCTTCCAACGGAAATCTAGTTGCCAAACCGGGTGGGAATGCGTCATTGGTGCGTAATCTAAGAGGCCCTGCATCTCACATCACCCCATGGTGCCCCCCCCACACGTCACATGACCGGCCCGGTCCCACCTTCGCGGACCACACAACGTGACGCTCTGATTGTCACGTGTCTCGGCGCTGTCAACTCCGTCTCTGGAACACCCTTCTCCCCACGACGTCTCCGGCACCCTGGCGCCCAAGCTACGCCCCTCCAGCCCCCACGAAGCGGGGAGGGGGCTACTGGCTATCCCCAGAGACCTTTTGAGGCAGTGGGTGGTACGCCCCTTGCTGAATTCGGCTTCATTTCTTTTGGGTCCGGGGGTGTGGGCAGACAGAGAACTTAGAATTCGCGGCTGTCATCATCATGGGACCTTGAAATTCAGAGAATAATAAGATCCAGCGTTAGAGAATTGCAGGGTTTTGTAGGCAGAGAATCTGGGGGTGGAAAGTGACCTCACCCAAGGCAGAAATCTCTTCTCCCGCATACTCCTGGCGCAGCCTCTGACAGGTGGGCGGCTGGCGCCCTGCTTGAACACTGCAGTTCCGCCGCACTCACCACCTTCTGAGCATGAGACCATTTCAGGGTAACTAAAGCTGAGAAAAGTGTCTGTATTACATTGAGCAGTCTGCCACTTACGTCTAACTCCCTACCTAGCATCTGGGTCTACCCTCTGAAGCCCGCAAAAAAAATCTGCACACATTCCACATTATAGTGGACTGTGAGCTCTTGAGGTCAGGGCATGGCAGTCCTGTTCTTACCTGAATCCCCAGTACCCAGCACTTATGGGTCCTCAATAAATATCTGTGGACAGAAATTTAGCCTTTCATGTATCTGAAGATAAAGCTCGTGGTTCCCTAGTCTTTCAGGCTTCAGCCTCTCATGGTGACACTGCCCTAGCCCTCTAGATGGTCACTCATTCAATGGATATTTATTGGGCATTTATTATGGGCCAGAGACTGGTCTAGGGGTCAGAGATAAATCAGGGCCTAAAAGACAAAACACCTTTCACTTATGAAATTTAGATTATGTAAGAGGAGTCCCCAAGGCCACTCAGTGAGTCTCAGCATAGCCAGAATAAAAATCAGGTCTCCTGGATTCCAGGGCTCTTTCCAGGGAACTTACATGAAGGTTCAAGCAAAGGAAAGAATGGCCTCTCTCTAGTATGCCCCGGTAAGGAAATCTAGATTCCTGTGACTGAGTTGGTATGGATTTCTGGAAAGTGACTTCTTTGTCTCTGGGCCTCAACCTCCCATCTATACAATGGGTGGCCTAGAGGGATGGGGAGATCATCTTTATGGGTATTCCCTGCTCTAAAGTTCATTGATTATGAGGTTGGAAACTAAAAATGCTGTCTGATTCTACTCGAAGGGCTTTGATCCTTCTATTCCCTTCAGAACCCAGCTCACCTGGGGTTGGGAACGAAGGAGTGAAGATGGTGTGCAGCTCTGATCAACCTACAGGAGGAATGAAGGGTTGGAGGGATTTCGGGAGGCCAAGCCCTGCCCCTTGGGGTCCCCTGGAGATCATGAAGAAGGATTTCTCCACTTTAGGGTCTTTTATATCAGCCTCTGCCTCCCTGCCTCCCCCCATTCCCTCTCTCTCTCTCTCTCTCTCTCATACTTTGTCTCTCTGAGTGGGACAGTGGAAGGGCTTTTGGACATCTGACTCCCAGTCCTGCATGTGGTCTTGAATAACTCATTGCTCTTCTCTGGGACTTAATTTCTCCATTTGACAACTTGGTCTGGTAATTTCTGCCTTGCCTAAGGTAAGAATTGAACAGTATCAAGTGAGGTGAGAAACACTATGGAAGCATCTTGTGAACTGTTGAGGGTTGCCCCCTCTGTGGGCTTTTACAACTGTGGGTTCCAGCTCTCTCTAGGACCACCAGTCCCACCTGCCTCTCTGTTAGCCTCTTGATGGTTTGCCTTCTCAGTTCCCAGCTGTGATCTGGAGTTGTTGGTGCCTTTGTTAAATTTCCCAGGATTATGATACTCATTATTGTATTTGTGGTCTCTGGGTGGGATCACAGGGTTTGGAATGGTGGCTTAAGGTCACTGGAAGCTGGGCTTAAAGCCTCATGGAGTGGTATGTGAAGAGGGTGGGGCGCAGGGTCCATATAGGGAGAATGGCTCTGGAGATGGAGTTCTCCAGAGCTGAGTCCTTATCTCTATGTCATGACTTGGGGGTTATTCCTTTTGGGATCTCTGAACAAGCTTGAAGTGTGTGTTAAGTATATTGGGTCTTGGATGTGTAGGTATTAGGGCTGTGTATGTGTGTTCCTTTCAGTCTCTGGGAAGGTCAAGCCCTACCCAGTCCCAAGGCATGGCAGCCGGTCCGGTCCCCTCCACCTGCAGGTCCCTCCGACCAACATCCTACCTGTACTGGAGCCAGATGACCTGGGCTGGAATCCCAGCTCATTCACCTCATCATACAACTCTCTAAGGCAAGTTACATAACTTTGCTATGCCTCAGTTCCCTCATTTGAGAAATGGGAACAATAACAGTACCAACCTCAAAGGATTGCCAGAAGGATTAAATGAGATGATATGTGTGAAGTGAATAGAACAGGGCCTGGTACGGACTGAGTGCTATGTAAGTGTTTGCTGCCATTATATGGCAGTGCTGCCGCTGATCATTACCCTGAGGGGGTGAGCAGCCCCAGTGTCTCCGCACGGATTCCTCTCTGCTCCTTGTCCAGGGTCTCCTTCCGCTTTCCATCTCCTGCACCCCCTGTGCGTCAGGTACGAGGCTAGGGGCCTTGCCAGCTTCTCATGTCTCTCATGTCTCCACCTGGATCTGACACACCATGTATTTTTTATATTATTTATATATATATATATTTTAAAGATTTTATTTATTCATTTGAGACACAGAGATACAGAGAGAAAGAGAGCATGAGCAGGGAGAGAGGCAGAGGGAGAGGGAGAAGCAGGCTCCCCGCTGAGCCAGGAGCCTGATGCGGGGCTCGATCCCAGGACCCTGGGATCATGACCTGAGCCGAAGGCAGACGCTTAACCATCTGAGCCACCCAGGCACCCCTATTTATATTATTTATATTAATTTTATATATTGTCTGTCTTCACTCCTCCTCTCCACCTACCAGAATGGAAGCTCCACGAGGACAGGGATTTTCACCAGTACCTCCAGGAGCACCTGGCAAATGGTAGCTGGTCAATAAATATTCATGAATGAATGAAGTTATTATTTTTAATGTAATATTTATAGAGCATTTGCTATGTGCCAGGCACCAGTATTAGCACTTTGTAAATATTAACTCATTTAATTTTCATAAGCAGTTCTACAAGATAGGTACTGTTATTGTCCTCATTTTACAGAGGAGGAAACTGAGCCACAGAGGTATTAAGTAACTTGCTGAAGGTTACACAGTAGGGAAGGAGAGAGTCGGGATTTGAACCCAGAAAGTGGAGCTCTAGGTTCTGTGCTCTTGTCCTCTCCGCTATGATCCAAGGAAAACGTGGGCCGGGGGAAGGCGCACTGTGTCCACCTACCTTTGGGAACTTGCTGCCACCTGCTGATGCCCTGCTTTAGATCATCTGTGGGGAGGAGAGGGGGAAGACTTTGCCTGCAAGACTGAGCCTTCTCCCCTCCCCTGTCACAGGGTCTCTCTTCCACACCTGCTGGGTGGGGCTGACCGCTGGGAGGTTGTCTTCTTCCCACTCCCTATTTGCTCTGGCCCCAGGAGCCAAAGATACTCATGCATGTTTCACATAAAGGGCTTCTGTTTATCCTACAAGTCTCTGAGGCGGTTTTTGTGCCAAGCCCCAAGGCCCACAGAGATGAAGCCCCCACAGCTTTCTCCTCATGATTGTGTTTGTGGCCTGACTTTGACCACTCCCTAGAGTTCCATCTGAGAACCTCTCCTCTTCAGACACTACATACAGTCTTGTGGCTTTAACTGGCTCCCAAATCCGTATCTCTAGGCCCAAATTTTCTCCTGACCTCCAGATCCTTGAATCCACTTGTCTCCCAGACATCCCTTCCTGGAGGTCCCAGAGGCACCTTAAATTCAACAACATGTTTCAAACAGGATGCATTGTCTCCCCCTGAGAATCTCCTAAACTAGCTTCTATTTCTTCTGTTGCCTCTCCACGTGGGTTACTCCTGATCACATGGGCCATAACCTTGGCCTTGAACTTCATTTTAAAAGTGATGGATCACACAATTTGTCAGGATAAGCTCCCCTAAAAATACTGGAAGAAAATATGGGCAAAAATCCTTTATAACTCTTAGAGTGAGGAAGCCTTTCCAACTCCAACTCAAAACTCAGAAGCTATAAAAGATTAATACATTTGTCTACATGGAAAAAAATTCTGCATGGCAAAAAAACATCAAAGCAAAATCAAAAGACAATAAACTAGGAAAAAATATTTGCAATTCTTATCATATACAAAGGGTAATCTCTCTGCTATTTAAAGGGCTTCTTCATATTGATAAGAAGGACCAACAGTTCAATAAAAAATGGGCAAAGAACATAACAGATCACAAAAGAGAAAATCCATAAGGCCTTAAACACTTATGCAGATGTTCAACTTCACACATAATGAAAGAAATGAAAAGACAATGAAATGAAATGAAAAGAGATACTGAAATGCCTTTTTTTTCCTTTATTGCATTGGCAATAACCCATTATATCTGACAAAACATTTTGTTTTGTCACTCTTTTGGCAAGACTGTGGGGAAACAGGGACTTTCACCCGTTGTTGGCAGGAATGCAAAATGGTACAACCCAGATAATATATTTTTTAAAGATTTTATTTATTTATTTGAGAGAGAGAATGAGAGAGAGAGAGCACATGAGAGGGGGGAGGGTCAGAGGGAGAAGCAGACTCCCCGCTGAGCAGGGAGTCCGACGTGGGACTCGATCCCGGGACTCCAGGATCA